CTTTAAAAAATTTTTTAGCAAAGCATGGGGCAATGCAGTACAGTCGAGAATGAAGGCTCAGACCTCGGTCTGCACCAGAGAGCATCCGGCAGGGGCGGAACACACACGGTTAGTGGCTCCACTTCTGCTCTGTCCGACAGGCAGCTGCCGCTCACCACACAGCTGATGAGCACTTGAAACGTGGCTCGTGCATCTGCAGAACTGAACTTTTCATTCTGTCTAATGTACATCTGTGTAGCCAGATGGCGTTCATGGCTACGTAGAACCGGGTTCAGATTCCAGCTCTGTCACTCGCCAATCTCAGACATGCAGCACAACCTCTCCCAGGGGCAGTTTCTATGACTGAAAAATGAAGGGAACAGTGGTCCCTGTAGCCCATGTGGCTGCTGGGAGGATGACACGGGTGAAGACGCTTGGCCACCTCATGACAGGCCTGTCTGCACTGCCATGAAGGAGTTCGACCTGAGAACGGCTGTCACCACTGGCCTGTCCTCTCAGCCAAAACCTGTCTCCCCTTTAACTTGGCCCCAATGGTAGTGCTGCCCTCTGGGGCCACTCACACTTCCCCAGGGCCCGAAACTGCCCGCTGTCACCTGTGTTGTCTCATTTCTGCAACTGGACGTCGCAAGCCTCTTTGACAACTTCCCACAGCACACACCCCAGGGGCCACATGGCAGCCAGGTTCCCGCACAATTGTGTGAACGAACCCTGCTGCCAATCAGGTACTGGGACTGTCCAACGTTGGCAGGTGCTGGGAATCTTCCAGGGCTCCTTGCTGACAACGAGGGAAGCCCCTAGGCAGTGAGGAGCCCATGGATGTCCCCTTCCCACTTCCCTTCAGAGGGCGTCTGGCCCGGTGGAGGCGCTCCTTACCGCAGTGCATTGTGGGAGTCTGAGAACCTGTCTGCCTTCGTGTCCTTCACAATTGTCCAGTCAAAGACCAGTCCAGCCAGGGTGCTGAAGGTGTTCCCTACAGGAGCAGATGGGGGAGGCAGAATGCATCACGGTTAATTCCCCAGGGCCAAGGGAAGGAGAGCTAGGAGCTTCTATCCCACGCAGGAACCACACTCAAAACCATTCCCCTGCAAAGCAGGTGCCATGACCCCCACTTCAGGAAGGGTAAACCGAGGCTGAAAGGCATGAAAACGCTTACTTTTGGTCAAGTGACCCTGAGATGCTGGGCCAGGATTTGAACCCAGGCCTGTCTCAGGTGAAGGCCTGTGTTCTTCCCACTGTGACTCCCTGCCTTTGACAGCTCATGGCAGGCTTGGTGCAGTGCTTAACACCACCACCCCTCACGTCTATAAGCACTTTACAGTTTAGGAGGCTGCTCCCAACCTCAGTCATTCCTCCTCATCACCTCCTGGGGAGTAAACCCCCCCTTCCCTCCCTGTTACAGGGGAGGAAACCATGGGGTAAGGGGTGGTTCCTTGACCGTCAGGTTTCATATAACTATTCTTGTCTTTTCTTCTTGACTGTGGGACTCGTGGGGTCCTGGGGTGGAGGAAGAAAGAGCCAGGCCCAGCCCCCTCAGCTCTGAAGTCCGGTTTTGCTGTCTGTGAGCCTTTTTTCCCCAGCATATTATGGGGGTACAAATGTTTAGGTTATACATA